GGTTCCTTTTGTGAGCCGGTACATGCCTTGATCGTGCGGTAGTTGGTGAAATCCGATGCGAACGAGTCGGGCGTGGAGGTACTGCTGCCACAGTCTCGGGGCTTGCTTGATCCCGTACAGGGATTTCAACAACTGACAGACGTAGTTGGAGTTCGTGCTGGAGCCATGTGGTAGCTCAACGAAAATCTCTGCGTCGACGGGTGCGTAAAGAAAGGCGTTGGCGACGTCGATTTGCCGCAGCTTCTTCTTCTTCATGGCGGCGATCGCGAGAAGGATTCGTAGTGAGGTGTGTCGGCTGACCGGGGCGAATGTCTCGGTGAAGTCGCGTCCGTGTTCCTAGTCGAAGCCGCGTACAACCCAGCGTGCTTTGAATTTGTCGATGGTGCCGTCTGCTTTTGTTTTCACACGGAAGACCCACTTCCCGGTGAGTATAGTCTTGTTTCGTGCCACACTGATGGGAACGACTTTCCAGGTGTTGCGCTCCTCTAGTGCCGTCAATTCCCTGTCCATGGCTTCGCGTCATTTTTCCCTGTGCTCCCCTCCCAGAGCCTGCTGAACCGTCGCATGCTCCTTAGGAATCGCAGTGCCGTGGACCGCGGTGACCAGGCCAAGTATCTGGAGGCCACTCTGTGTGTAGCGGGGGAGTGTGGTATCCGCGGGATAAGCTGCTTCGTCACCTGCTTCTGGGTCAGGTATGAAGTTGGGCCCTATGCGTTCTGCTTCGTTGGTGTTGACTTCTGCAGGTGTAACGTAACCGTTGTCGGCGAAGTGGTAAAATACTTCGGCGTTGACGCTTTCGCGAGGGTTTTCACCATCCATTGGGACATCAACGGAGCAGTAAGGGAGAGGTCCGGCTTCCTCCGAGGTTGCGTCCACGTTCTGCTCGTCCCAGTCAGCTTCGTCCGCTGCGGAAGCGAAGGCTCGGTCTCCACGAAGTCCACTGGTGAGGTCGCGTTGTTCTTCCACGTTGGCTAGGTAGGAGTCGAGAGTGAGTCGTTCGTAGAAAATCACATCACGTGCTGCCACTGTTTCCTTGGTGTGGACGTCTTCAATCTTCCATGCGTTGTAATTATTTTCGATGCCCAGGTGTAGTCCCCACTGTGCGCGTTGGGAGAATCGGCCGGCTCGTGCAGATGGGGGTCGGTACTGTACCATGCAGCCGAAGACTCGTAACATTTTTGTGCTGCCCAATTTTCCTGTCCACAGCAGATGCGGTGATGCGTTGTTCGGGAGCGATGATGACGAGAGCAAGTTGTGCAGCATGACGGTGTGGTCCATTGCTTCGGGCCACTGGTGGTTGGGTAGCTGCATGCCACGTAGCAGTTTGCGCATGGTGTTCTGAAGGGTCCTGTTCATTCTTTCTGCTACACCCTGCTGTTGATGGGCGTAAGGAAGGAAGATGAGCCTCTTGATTCCCTTTTCTGCCAGGTAGTCCTTGAAGCGTTGTGAGGTGTATTCTCCGCCTCCATCTGACTGAAAACTCTTTAGCTTTACTCCGGACTCTCGTTCTGCTGCTGGAAGCCAGGCGACGAAGGCTTCGAAAGCCATGTCGCGACTCGGAAGGTTCAGGTGCCAAACGTATCGGGTGGCAGCGTCGATGAAGGTGATAGTGTAGTTGTAAGCTCCTTGTCCTGGTACGCGATTGTACAGGATGTCGCTGTACACCTTTTCAAGTGGTGCGTATGCTGGTGCACTCGGGTTGTGGTGAGGGACAAACGGCTGATGCGGTAAGTCGGCTTCAGGACATGTGAAACACGTTCCGCGGACTCGTTGGAGTTCTCTCCCGTCATGTAGTAGGAGCGAATCTTTGTCCAGCACTCCTGCTCTTATCGTGTTGTTTAACGTTGTGTTGCTTGGGTGTCCCATCCGTGCATGCCAGATTTCTTCGCTGGCGCGGTGTCCGGGTGAGCGTCGGTACATGTCGGAGTTGGAGTAGAAGCTGGCGGTGAAGTTGGCGCTTCGATGAACTTCTCGTGGTGCCGGGTTTAGCTGCTGCGCGGGTGTCGGTGGTGTGTCATCGACGAAGATCGGTGCCGTTGAAGGACCAGCGATTGGTGTTGATGTTGCCACTGCTGTTACCGTTGTCTCTGCTGCTACTGTTGTTGTCTCTGCTGCTGCCGATGTTGTCTCTGCTGCTGCCGATGTTGTCTCTGCTGCTGCCGAATGTTGAATTGTCGCTAACGCTCTTGTTCTTTCTGCTTCAGGGATGGTTTCAGAGTACCAGAAGCTTCCAGGACTGAAGTCTGGGTCAAGATCCGGTGGATGTGTCCAAGAGGTGAAGTTCACGATGGCTTCGCTGTCAGCGGTGCCAAGGTCCGGGACGAAGTCGAGAACGAAGACGTTGTTTTTCAGCACTGCCTTCCCGATATAGAGACCTCCCCTGCCGTTATACAGTTTGAACTCCTGTGTAGTACTGTCTGCTTCGAGATGGATACCCTTCGCCATCAGCTGACTGACGCTCAGTAAGTTGTAGCCGAGTCCCTCCGCAATTAAAACCTTTGACATTTGTAGAATGACGTTTGTCTCTCGCGACTGAAGTTGTACAATTCCTTGTCGTCGTGTGCGCAGGTTCTGGTTGTTGCGACGATGATGACGACTTCGCGGTGAAGTTGCTGTTCTCGTTGAACGAAACGATCCGAAGAGCACATATGCTGCCCGCAGCAACTGTCCAAGAACCAGGTATCTTTCCCGGACGGCTCACTCTGGGCAATAGCTGCGTACGTTGGGTTCGGCTCCAGTGTCTCGCGGCGCGGCGTGCTTTCGTCAAGAAGTTCTTCGGGTGAGTATGTTGGTGGTGATTCGGTGATGCAAGAGTCGATCAGTCTTGCCATACAACTGACGATGTTTCTTGCTCCTTGTGCAGATTATCCCGTTGATGTCGTTTGAACTTGAGCGGTGGGGTTCGCTTGTGTTGAAGCGACTTGGCTGCTTGAAGGTCGAAGCTGTCGTTGTGGCGGTGTTGACTGTTGTCGATTCGGGCAGTGTGTGCGCGGATGTCCTGACGTCTTGCAGAGATGGCAGAACGGAGGTACAGGCTTTGGTTGATGTCGGCTGTTGTTGTTGTTGTAGCGTCGCCGAGTGTGGAACGCAAATTCGGGAACTGACGTTTTCTTCTTGTGCCGCTCCTCTTGCAGGTCCATGTCTTGCTGCTCGGCGTGAATTTCGGCGCAGAGTGCTGCTTCGGAGATCTTCCCGTGAGCTCGGAGAATAGCTCGAGTGGAGCGCCAATGAGGACCAAGTCCAGTGATGACGACTGTGACGAAGGCTTCTTCGGAGATTGACCCTCCGCATCGAAGGAGTTTGTCGCGTAGTTCGCGGCAGCGGATGATATACGCCATTCCTTTTTCGCCTGGTTTCATCTCGACTGTTGTCAGTTGCGCCATCAACCGACTCTGATTTACGCTGTCTGTTGCTTGATACAGGCTCTTCAAGTGGCTGTATGCGAGTTCGGCGGAGTTGCCATATCCCCGGTAAGACCGTATATTCTGCTGCTGATTCGGAGTGATGTTCCTCAGTAGAATCGTGTACGCCATCATTGACTGATACGTGTACTGCTGTTTGTCGTACTGTGTGCCGTGTGTTGGGTATGGCAGGGATCCGTCGAAGAAGCCAAGAATCTGCGCGCCTTCCATCATCAATTCGAACTCGAATGACCAGGTGAAGAAGTCCTTTCCGTCGAAGGGCCTTGACGTCTGCAGTTTTAAGACGTGCGCGAACTGTGACTGAACTTGAAGTGCGTCCAGTGTCTTCTCTTGTCCAGGTGCAGGCTGCGGTTGTGGCATAAAGCTGACGGAGCCACGCTGGGGCTCGTACGGAGCAAATGTATGTTGCTGCTGTTGATTTCCACGTGCGTAGGATGAACCATCAAGGCTCATTGGAGTCACGTTGTTGTTGTTGTTGCTGTTGTTTGACTGCGCAGGTGCCGACTGTTGGTGTTGCTCGTAGAAGGACATGAAGGAGAAAAATTTCTCCATCATGTTCTGATCGAAGCTTGCAGGTTGATTCGCGGGAGTCTCGGTAGAAGTTGCTCTTGGTTTTGTTGCCGTACCCTCCTCTGTCTGTAGGCCAGAGGCAGGAGGTGGAGTAGGAGTAGTACCCGGGGAGCCGTTAGAGGAGCTCCTTTCCTTTTGTGTTGCCATGACTTCTGACGTTGTAGATAACTTGATGGTAGTTGAGTTCCCCCTGTTCGCTCTCATACCATGTTGGGCTGAGAAAAAGCCCTTACGATCTTTGCAGGGCTGAACTCTGGGTAGGACTTGTTGTAATAGCGGAAGCGTTTTAATTAAGAGTTATGAACCACCTTGCGCTGGTATGTGAGGGCAAAGTGAATTTATTAAAGCAAAGAGATACAGGATTATATAAGAGTACAAGGAATACGAAGAGATACGGTTGCAACTACTTTACTGTTGCTGTTGCGGTTCGATACAGTGACGACTCGGGCAACTGCTCTGTAGCGAGTCAGTTGTGAGTCCTTGCTGTCGCGCTGTACTTGTCAGGTCAAAGGTCGCTGACCTTTGCTTTTCACGTAACCTCTAGCAACTGCTCAACCTCCGAGGGTCGACTCGCCGGTGCTTCGATATACTTCGCTTCGCTTCTGACTTGGTGTTTCGACACGACAGAGGCGCTTAGAATTAATTGTTTCCAACAGCACATGCCTAAACCCAGGAGATTACTACATGCCTTGCTACTACAGTACCCACGCGAGGTAGTTATTGTAGTAATGTATTTGACGCGTAGGGGTCTGGAAGGTTGTATGCGTCTTGTTCAGTTTCTCTACTGAACCAGTCTGCTGCTGTACTGGAAGCGCAGAGAACTTTTTAAATAGCGAAATAATATTCTAACGCAGACATTATTTTATAGCAAATCCACAACCTTCACACACTGAGACATTATTTGGGCAAATAAATGTACAAAACAGAGAAATCTGTGTAGCATTCAACCTGGAACAAACCATAATGGGACTCGTCGAACCTCTCATTCTCAGCTTCAGAAACGAACTCCTACAAAGCCGGTCCATTGAGGCCGACACGGTATAGGAAGTCGAGGAACCCAGTAGCAGACAGCAGTCCCTTGCCAGTGACAAGCTCGATCACCAGTAGACCCACAAAACCTGCCATTGCTGCTCGGCCGTTGAGCAACTCGTTCTGTGGTGAAAACCCGAATCCGCCTGCTGACTCATCCACCACCATCCTAGTCTGTGGTGGCAAGGAGGGAGCATTGACAGCAAACAGAAGGCGTTAGAAGAAAGGGGAGGATGACAAGGGAAGAAATACGCTGATGCTGGATATACTATTTTATGCCATCCCAATTACGCACTTCAGGCATGCGCGGTTCATTCTAGGAGTTGCAAGTGTGGACAACCGTTCATCTTTCTCTTCTCGCAAGGGTTCAGACGACATTATGTGACAGGACTTCAGTCGGGTAGAAACAGACATACAATGTGGGTAAAACAAACACACCATGGAACATTTCCCTCACCTCGTTCACATTCACGTCGGAGACCGTTTGGCCGACCCTGGAAGCCTCGCCCACCACCACCTCAGCAGCACCGGCAGAGCCGCGGCCCATGTTGATGCAGACCTGGTAGTCCTCCAGCTTCACAGGGAACACCTCCAGCCCGCGGAGCGGCTTGGTGAGCGCGCGCAGCACGGGGTTCTTGGGGTACCACTCCTTGATCTCGCCGGTCTTGAGGTCGAATGTGGTGTCCGTTGAGGGACACACGATGCAACCGTCCTGGAGGACGAGGAGAAAGAGGGATAGAGAATGGAGAGGGAATTAGAGGAAGCGAGGCGTTAAGGGACAAAAGACGCCCTGGTTTTGTCAACATGGACGGGTAGAGTAAGAAGTCGATCGGACAAGGAATTGAGTGGGAGAACACTTCAAAAGTTCGTGCTCGCTTACTTGCACTGGGAATCGACGCAACCAGATAGACAGCGTGCAATATGCAGCACGTACTGTTGCTCTGTTGTATAAGAGAATGTGTGGTATAGTAACGAGTTTGAATATAGCCGTTACCAACCTGGGTGAACCTGGCGTTGAGAAATCCCTCCGAGTACGCTCCCTCTGCAGGCGAGACGTTCTCCACGGCGTAAATCTCGTTCCGGTACCAGAACAGAAGAATCTCCTGGCCGTCCTGCCTAATAAGCCGCCTCTCTCCCTTAGGAAGCGCCTCCATGGGGATTACCGGCACCCAGTTGTCAGTGGACGCTGCTGCTGCTGTGACTTCTGTGCTGGCAGCAGAGCAGACGACCGACCTAGACTGAGATTGCGCGGATGTTGCCTGGAACGAGCACAACGAAACGCCATTGCTCACGGACGCTCTGGTAGGTGCGACTTTGGGGGTGGGAGCTCCTGTGAGGAAGGAAGACGGGGTCAGTGCCTGACGAAGGGCGACGGACGAGGCCATGACTCCAGACAGCGCCTTAATCGAGGAGACAGTAGGTAATCCTGGAGACGAAAAGAGCTACCCTTTTCAGATTCGACCAAAGCGCAGGTGAAAGTTGTTGTGGAAAACTAGAAATTTGCACGCGCTTTTTGATTGCTAACCAAACTGAGGAAGATTTCGCATTTATGCTTCCGTGAATGGAATTGGCACTGCTGGGACCAGGGGAACCTGCACGCGAACTTGGGTCGGGAGAGAGCGGGAGGAGCGTGAGTGAACCTTGGGAAAATCCAGGTGGCCGAGAGATTGCCACGTCCAGTTCCCGCCAACCGGTCGCTTCTGAGAGTTTTGCCTTGAACCAAGTTCTAGACGGGGGTGTTTTGACCACGTCAGGGTGGATGCAATATACACGTGGCTATAACTCATTGCCCCACGTCGTTGCAGCCAAATCATCTGAAGTAGCGTGATTGGCTGATAGACTCGAGAGACGATGCCATATGGAGTCACCCAATGCAAAATCCTGAAATGTTTACCCTCTCATTCATAATACGGATCCCGCTTTTGCAGCGAGTACACTGTTATCGAATGTTTTTTGTGTGCCACACCTTGCTAGACCGAAATGCGATGGCTGTTCACCTGGTTACATGGTTTGAGAACCCTGAATTCGTTTTGTCGCCACAGGATGATAACGAATTATGGCGATCGGCTCATAAAGGCCCTGTTCTCTTGCCCATCGGCTACTGGTGGGCGGACATCCTGGACACAGCACCAGCTGTGCTGCTGGAGGTTTGGTACGCACCCAAGTATTCGAAGGCTCACGGTATCTTCCTGCCCCCCTCCGTGCATCTTCATGGAAAAAGTTTCTTTCTCCTTCGCAGACCGTCAAATCTCCTCTCGCAAGCATCCATTGGATGATTCGATGGCCTGAAAGCAAAAGGGCCAACCAGGACAAAGAAAAAAGGTTATCCCTGCCCGAAATTACTTGTGCTATCCCTGGATCCCCTCCCTGAGTGGGGACAGGGACAGCACAAGCCCCGCACCCAGTTTGCCTGGGAGTGGGGGATAGCACCACATCACTGGTTCATCATTCTTTTGCACTAAATAGCTGCACAGCACAGCACAGCACTAATTAGGCTCGGGATGGAATTCAGGGTCCCGAGCCTCTTTTTTGGGAATGCGCCCTTGTATTTGAAGCTTCGAGGCTGGATGGTAGAATCCTTTTCGAAGCATCAACTGGTGCTGTGCGGAGGGGTCCGCACAAGTAGTGCGGCAACAGAACAGGGCCAAAATGTCACATGTCCCTACCCCGAGCAGAAGTCATGCTCGTTAAAGTTGGAACCGGTCTGGTATGTTACAGTCCGGTATGAGGGCGGTAGAGCGTGGTGGGCGTTCTAAAATTGAAGCACCAGCAAGTCACCCTGAATGCAGTACAGAACTAGGAGTGATACTTATCACGAGGGGTACTTATCACCTCCGGAAGCGCCCGCTTTAGTGCCCACACCATGGCGACCAAGGCCGTGATGAAGTCTTTTTGAGAACTCAGAACTGTTTCAATATAAGCATATCCGCTATCCCCGCTATAACGATTTAGGCCCTGCTCGTTTGCAGAACCAAGAACTGTCCCGCTATGGCGACTAAGGCCGTACTCGACATCATGCAAGGCGTGCTGGTGTCGTTCGGCACGAGCATGGCGACGGCGACGAGGGAGGAGCAGCGCACGTGGTGGGCGGAAGACGCCACGTGGCGAGAGGAGGACCTGGACTGGCGGGGAGAGGAGAAGGTGGTTTACGAGGCGGAAGGCGAACGCAGGATACGAACGCGGAAGTTAGTTCCTCTCCTCATAGTTGATCGGTCTGGTTCTTCCGTGTGCATCGTTTCAAGCGACCGTATTCGTGCTCAGTTCCTGCATTGGTTCCAAATATATGTGTTCTGGGGAATTGTAAATCCGAGTCGGCTTGAGGGTTCCTAAGCTTTCTCATTCTCTAAGCGTCTCGCACTCCTATCCCGTTGTATGCGCCTTATGCAGGTGGCACCAAGAGGATATTGACCAAATGAACCTGGAGAATGCGAGGGTATTATGGCTCAGGTAACGCAGGTACTGCGCTGCTGTGAGCATATGTTCCTTTAACAAACATTCTGCACCTTCAGTCTCGTTCTGAATAAAGTGGCCTTGCCCCCGTTCCCCTTCGATGCGAGCCAAGCCATGAGATCTGTCAAGTATAATCGCAGGGACGTGGGGCTGGAGTAACTGCTAACTCCCTTTTCTTCTCTCCTCGTTCTGCGATCAGGTTCGTGGAGAAGAATCGGCGTGACGTGGAGGAGAAGACGGAGCAGCTGAAGGCCATATCCAGCATCTCAGCTCTTTTTGGTCTCTGTGCTACAGTCACTCTCACTCAACTCAGCCTGGATAAGGATGGAGAGCCTACCGCACCAACTGTAAGTATTTTTTTTTTTTTAAACCCCCCGTGGCAAATATTTCGTGCATTTTATTGGATTCAGTCTACTGCTTTTGCTATATAAGGTTTTTATTTGGCATGCCTGTATTTTCCCTTCTTTCAGGGCTTGATTGCGCTGTATGCACTCACAACAGCACTCGTGGTATGTGAGCTCTTGCGCCAAATCAATATGCGGTGACAGTTTCTTTTACACCCTAACTTCTTCTGCCCACTCACAACTGCATCGCTTCCCATTGACGCCATCTCTCACCCGCCTCAGATTTGTTGTCACAATCATTCTATTTGTGTTCTACCTAATGTATGCACTTTCTTTACCGAGTTTGTTTTGACAATCAGCCACCCACTTTCGTTTGCACTCATCTACCCTCGTTTCTGCATTATTTCAGGTATTTAGTCCCGTTTCCCAACTCCACCAGCACCCTTGCCTGCGTCACCTCACCCTGCCCCTACCTCACTCTCGTCTCCCCACCCCTCCTCTCCCTTGACCCCCCTGCCCCACAGGAGGGCCTGATGATAGTCTCTATGGTCACCTGTGCGCTGCTTCTAGGAAGCATCCTGAAGGTCGGCAAGACCTTTGTGAGCGAGCGGGAGGAGCAGGAGTTCATGGCGGCGTGCCTTCGCTTCTGCGCGCTCTACCAGAGAGGCGACCGCCCTCCCCACCCCCGCAAGTCCTTCGAAACCTTTTGGGCTTCCAGGTTAGACACATATTGGATTGCATCATTGTCTCTCAGGAGGAGCAGGAGTTCATGGCGGCGTGCCTTCGCTTCTGCGCGCTCTACCAGCGAGGCGACCGCCCTCCCCACCCCCGCAAGTCCTTTGAGGCCTTCTGGGCTTCCAGGTGATTCTTGAGGGTAAGGGTTGTGGTACCTGGTGGGAGAAAGCCAATGATGTGAGAATCGGAATATGTACGTTTTGCAACATTGTATCACTGACATGTGTGATTCTTCCCATTGCCATGCTTATCCAGGTGTGAGGGGAGCTGGCAACTCGCCTTCCAATGCTGCTGTGTGGGTGAGTTAAAGAATTTACAGTTCTGGGTACATTTGCTGTTTCAAGCACTTTTGCTGGCGAGGCGAGTGGTTAATGTCCTTTTCTTCTCCACGTGGCAGGTGTGACTTCTTTTCTTATTAGCATGATCTCTGTCGGGTAAGTAATCAGGGATGGTCGTTGGTTCTTGTTGAAGTGGATGGGTTGCTGGCCTGAGCCTTTCATGCACTCATATTTTGCCTTGTCTCCTTGCAGGTGGATTGTTTTCATCCCACATGAGATCACTCAGGTGTCGTTCGGCATTGCTGTCGCATTGGCTGTGTGCCTATGGTAGGCTATTGCATCTATTCTTCTCGTGCGACCAATTTACTTGGTTCTCCGTTTTGGTTACACCATGTCATGAATTGCCATGTCGGAATTCTGTGCTTTCAGGACCTACGTTCAGTGGGCATGGGGAGCATATTGGAGAAGTAGCCGAAGAGCCAAGGAAAGTGGTGATTTACAATATTCAAGATCTATTTCTCTGTCATCTAGAGCATTATTTTCATCATCTCGTAGGAGCCTGCCAGCAATTAGTGCTCAACCTCCTGGCGGGTTTGCAGGTTTACCATTTGACTGGCATACTGCCCCGCACCACCTTCCGCTATAAAATAGTCGGATATTATCACAATCAGAATCACGGTAAGTGTGTAACTGTCACGCGAAATTACTGAAACTCGAGCATACCACCACGCGAAATCACGCTGGTGTTTACGGATCACTTTTTACCGGATACAAGAAACCTGACTGGTTGTCAGAACTTCCCGCGCGCTTTCAAAAGTTTCCCGCGACCCGACATTGCCCCAACCGATGTTGCCTGACTGACACCCTGCTGAGATGAGAGAAGAACTGACATAATTGAGGATGTTGGAGAAACAGGGTGGAGAAACAGGGCGAGAAATTAGACATTCAACAAAGGCAGGACAACCGGCAACAGCAGAGACGGAGCTGGAAGTCAAATGAGACATGCCATGGAAGTATTGACTCATCCTTCACAGCAATAGCAACAGCACCCACACATATCAGCAGATCATAGGTTCAGTCACAGTATAGGATCGCCTGATAGAGTAAGCTTCCCATACCAGCATTTTGACGCACAAGGTCGGCAGTGCGACCGGGAAAGAGTATTGTTAAGGTTCAAGTAGTTGTACTCGAGCGAGAAGTGTCCGTCGTCAAGTGCCTCATTTTCGGAAAAGTTACACGTGTCAATAGATTCATCGGTCAGTAAACTCAACAGGGTAGTTCAGCGTTGTCTTACATCTGCCGTTATTTCGAGCCAAATTCTTGCCCTCTTTCCAGTTAAGCAATCCAGAAGTCACTGTTTTAGCACCATGGAGGCTCAGTCGGTCCAGGCTGGCGGAAGTACACCGCTCCCTAGAAGAGTTATCAGCGAATCAGAAACACAAGTTCGAGTTGTCGCAAAAATTCGTCCGCGCATTCCGTCTGACCAGCCACGAGAAGGATTCCAGGAGCGGATGGTGATAGAGCGTGAAGAAGACAGTGTGAACCTGAACTTCCCTGATCCCTGGTGAGGAATCTTTATAAGACGCTTATTCAATTTGTTTTCTTTTAATCGTTTCTGCTTTTAATGGTGTTCTTGGTATCATTTGATGATAGTTTAACTCAACCGACCTTACTTTCCTGTGCAGGCCTGGAAAGAGCTTCAACCTTGATGCGCTGTACGAAGAAACCGACACCAGCCGGACCATTTTCGGCAAGGAGATCGAGCGACGCCTCTCATCACTCAGTGACGGCTACAGCCTAACGGTCCTGGTTTACGGTGCTTCCGGCAGCGGAAAAACCTACCTCATGCAGGTACGACCTGATTCTTCATTGAACATTAAACTATCTTGACAATCAGCATAACAAGTTCTCGTGAATGTGTTTAACCTTCACAAGGTTTTAACTTATCCCTGATTCTGGTGGAACAGGGAGATGGCGACGACATTCCAGGGCTGGTGTCCCTCTGCGCAGCCTGGATCGCAGCCAATCAGCTGGAGCGCGAAGGGTACCAGGTGTCCTTCTCCTATTCGGAGCTGTACGGGAACAAGGTCTTCGACCTGCTGCAGCCCCAGCAGCTGGAGATCATGGAAGACTCTGATCACGTTTTTCAGATTCCTGGCCTGCATGAAGTAAGCACAGATGGACTTACCGTTTCGGGAACCGTTTCAGATGGACACACGAGGAATCAAGAGGCACCTGGTTGTTGCTTCCGTTTCACAAGTAGCCATTTTGTTTTCTTTTAAGTGCGAGACGTGCGAAGGATTCCACCTATCTTACTCATTTTCTTCCGGTTGTCAATGTTACAGGAGGAATTCGGCTCACTGGATTCGTTCCTCGCGGCGTTTTCAAGAGCCAAGGGAAGGCGTCACCTCGCGGCGACGGAGGTCAACGCCGTCTCCAGCCGCTCGCACGCCATTCTCCAGTTCAACGTTTCGCGGGACGACAACCCTGGCATCGTCGGCCGTCTCAAGCTCGTCGACTTGGCAGGTCCGTCAACCGTGATGTCAACGAATCCGTCGAGCGATTCAAAACATTGCCGTTCAGAATCGGCGTTTCGTGCTCTTTGCGGGATTTGTTAACGTCTTTCTGATGAGATCATAGTGGTCACCGCTGGCCTCTCGTTGCAGGTCGCGAGCAGAACAAGGAGACGGGTAACACGGGCCAGCGCATGACGGAGAGCTGCGACATTAACCTCTCGCTCTCCGCGCTCAGTCGGGTCATTGAGCAACTCAACGACCCCAATGCGAAGCACGTGTCGTATCGCGGAAGCAACCTCACGAAGGTCCTGCAGGACTCCCTTGGAGGCAGCAGTCGGGGAGTCATGATCGCCTGCCTGGTAACAGCTTTAATCCCGTTTCGCTCTTTCTTTTGGAACTCATTGTTTCTTGACACGTGCATGAGCTTCAACCATCCTGCCCTCGCCATAAACTACGTTGTTGTGTTCGAAAAAATTGACGGATGGCATATTGTTTGCCATGGTTTGTTTTCTAAATGCTTTCCCTTTTCTCTCCATACATCAGGCTCCGAATGACGACAAGCTGGCGATGGCGGTTCTGGAGGTGGCGGCGCAGTCTCGCCTGATCCGCAACAACGTCGCCAAGACCGTGCTGCCCGCTACTCCGAAGCAGACCGTGGCGGACAGGCGCTCCCAGCTCTCCGCGTTCAAGGCCAAGAAGGCCGCCAGCAGAGCAATCGTCCCCAGCAGCGCTGCCGGGTGAGTGCGCGTTTGAGAAAATTGAAGCATGGATGATTCTACGGCAGAACAATGCGGACGCTGACGTATCACATGAGAAGACGTGGAGTAATTTTATTTGATACCACTGGTTCTGATGGCTTGCAAGCTGGTTTTGTGTGTTCAGGCCGTCTTCTTTCAGCGCCAGCGGGCCCCCCAGTGTTCAAAAGGGTTACATCCCTTATCCTGCTCGAGTTCCACGAGAGGTAAAAGGGGGACTTCTGTATTTGTGCATTGCTGAAATGGTGCATGGGTTGGTGCATTGCTGGGTTGGTGCATTGATTAATCATTACTCGGATCCTGGAACTCACGTGCTGTGTGCTCTGTCGTGCTCTCATGCGTGCAGCAACAAGTGGCTGGAGAGCTTCACCGCATCCTGGACCCCACTCGCTTCAAGAGAAGCCCCATCAGAGCGTCCTCCGCTGCCAACTCCACGCCCAGCCTCATCCCCCGGCCCCGCTCATCACTGCTCACCCGCCGCCCCGGCGACTTCCTGAGATATGCTGCAGAGGCACTGGAGGAACCTGATTCTGCAGCAGCGGCAGTGGCTGTGGCAGAGGCGGCATCGGCATCCGCGTCAGCGTCAGCATTCGCGTCAGGGTCAGGGGGCGGTGGTGCAGAGAGGGGGACGAGCAGCGGGGGCGGGAGGAGGATGCGGATAGCGGAGAAGATGACAGCGAGCATGGCGGCGAAGATGGCCTCCGCATCTGAGGCTCGGCAGGCGCTCGCGTTGAAGCGCAGCATGGCCAAGCACCAGTCGCCAAAGAGGGCTGCCGCCGCCAGGCAGAGGGGGATGGTCAAGCAGTCGGGATCCGTCTCTCACGCGAAGCCTGCAGGGAAAGCGGAAGCGCAGCCTTCTGGGAAGGTTGCTGGGAATGCTGCTGGGAAGGCTGGTGGGGAGGCTACTGAAAGGGCTGCCAGGAATCTTCAGCGCCAGGGATCGTCGGGGACGGCTGCGGCAGCGGATGCTGTTGTTCAGGCGGCTGCAAACCGTGCAGCCGACGAGCTCCAGCGCCAGCGATCGTGCGATGGAGTCGTTGCCGCTGTGTCCGCTGCGGCAGCTGCAGCCAGCGTCGCGGCAGCAGTAGCAACGGCTGCAGGGAGTCCGCTTGCGCCGAATGCGCAGCAGGCGCACTTCCTCTTCATGGACACCCTGCGCCAGCATCGGGATGGCGGGGTGCTAGCTGCAGAGGTAGGGGATGCGCCGGACGAGGTAGGTGCAGCAGAAGAGGACGGGGTTAGTGGTGAAAGTGGTGAGGAGAGTGAGCAGGGTTCGATGGAGGATGGGGACGAATTGTCCTGTGCGACTCCCGGAGGGAGGCTGAGTGACAGCGAAGTGGTGGGCGAGAGTGAAGGTGAAGTGGAGGGGGGGGGCGAGGGCACGACTGAGTGGGAGGAGGGGTTTGTGCGGAGGGAGCTGCTGGAATGCTACAGGGACAACGACGCTGCCGCCTCTGACACGTTTGAAGCATCCACGTGCCATGGCAGCTCGAATGGCAGCACGACTGGCAGCAGTGCGGAGTCGGGAGAGGAGGCGAGCACAGCTGATCAAGTTGGTCCTGAGAGCAAGGAGGAGGACCGGACGGGACAGATGGGGCTGAACGAGGTGGTGGAGGAGGAGGAATGCCACGTGGCGGCTGCACAAGATGGCGAGAGTGACCAGGAACGAGGCCAGGGGATGGAGCAGCTGCGGGAGGAGGGGGGTGATGTGGTGGGCATTGAGGGTGCAGGTTGTGGGGAGACGAACACTGAGCAATTTGAGGGCGGTGAGGAGATTGAGGAGGGGGAGGAGGTCGAGGGCTGCGTGGGGAGTGAGGGTGAAGTGGAGGTGGAAGCCGGGGAGGAAACGGAGGGTGGAGAGCAAGTTGAAGGTGGGGAGGAAGTCGAAGACGAAGGGTTTGTTGACGAGTTGGTAGGACAAGAGAAGGAGGACGTTTCGGGCATGGCGGCAGGCGAGGGGGCTACAAGTGATCCCACGTTGGATGAAGGGGCGGCACATCCAGAAGCTGCAACCAGTTCCAGGGCAGCAGAGTCCCCTTCTGCAGCCTCCGAGCTGGAGCGCATTGCAAGTGTGTGGGCGATGGAGGATGAGGAGGGGGAATTGGGCAAGGGCGGTGGATGCGGGGGTGTCGCATTCTCTCTGGTTCCGGTGGCAACGGAGAGCATAGCAGAGGAGGACGAGGAGGAGCAGGGAGAGGGAGCGCAGGAGCAGAATGTGCAGGAGCAGGGAGAGGGAGGGGAAGAGCAGGTGCAGAATGCCCATGAGCAGGGCCACGGTCCGATACCCCTGCAGCCGCTGACGGTGCTGTCAGACAAGACACCCTCGAGGCAGCCCCTCGGCACAGTATCGACCAACCAGTCATCACAGCGGCCTGCCTTCCTTGACGCCATGGTAAGTGTTGTCTATTCAAAGCCACGAACCTTCAGGGACGGCGCTCCAGCTTTAATAAGGAGGCATGGGTGATATTGATGAAACTCTCGTTTGTTCTGCTGTCCCAGGTGTCGTGCGAAGCGCCGGATGTGTTGCTTGAGGGTGCCATGAGGGGCCTTAGCATCGTGGACCCTTTGACCCCAGCCTGTGCCAAGGACGTTGGGACTCAATTCGTAGTAAGTCCTTAGATTTCAGGTCGTGCAGTTTGGGCATGCTACCTATATTGTTTCAATCTCACTTGAATTCGATTTAATTGTTCCGGGATTCTTTTCATGTGCAGGCTGTGGCAGAGGCGGAGCTCCTTCAGAAATTTAACACGGCAACCAAGTAAGTGCTTGGGAAGCAGCTCATAGAAAACCACAAAATGCTGTTCCTTACTATTCTTGTGAATGTCCACCACCCTATTGTGTGCATCAGGCTGCTAATGCATTTGCACATGTCTCCTCCCTCCCTTCCTCCCTCCCCACTCCCCTCCTTTCCTCCCCCCCTCCCTCCCGCCCTCCCTCCCTCCCTCCCTCCCTCCCTCCCTCCCTCCCTCCCTCCCTCCCTTCCTCGCCACTCTCCATGTCTACTCTCGGAACCTTCCGGCACATGGGGCACTTGTGCAATGCAGGGAGGAGCTAATGCAGCTGAAGGTGAGAGTGCCATTTGTTTCAGCAGTAAAAAAACACGCTGCTTAAACCACTTTCATTGTTGCTGTTTCCAAGAGTGAGACACTTGATACTGAAAGCCATCCTTTCCCTTTTCAGCATATCGGTCCAGTCCGTGCAACAAGAATCTGTGACGTCCGCAATACTCCGGGTGCGGGAGCCACTCCTTTTCAAGCGGTGAGTATTGCTTTTGCATTTCCTGCAAGGTTTCATTCCCCCTGCTCAGTAAGACTGAAATTGCGCTTGCGTCAATTGAACTTTCATTCTTGACATGCCAACAAGCCCACCTCCAGAAATACCAGTTTGGATTCCCGTGGATTTGCCATTTGTGGTTAAATGTTTATTTGGATGATACTCTGTGTGTTCCCTCCCTTGTGTGCTCCGTGTCACAGTTCACGGACCTCACTAAAGCAGGGATCAAGTTACATCATGTAAGGCTTCAAAGTCCACAACAATTGAGTCTCATTTTTGAATGCGTTATTGTGTCCTTAACTGCACTGTACTACTTTTTGCTACTGCTCCCAACGTAACTAACACCAACGCCCCGTTATCTGCAGGCACATCGCATTCGTCAAGACAACGTACAGAAAATGCTCCACTTTTGAGTTTCTGGCAGTGTCTGGCTTCTCGCTGGGTGTATCACAGATTTTCCCACTGGTGTCGTTGGTCAATGTCGTGATGACCACTTCATACATATGCCATTCCACGTACGGCGAGTTATGGACGTTTACTCACTCCCAGTCTTGTAGGATCGATTTATCTAATGATGTGGAGCCACTGTAGTTTTGTTTTGTAGCATTTTTTTGTCAGATCATTGCGAAATATGTGACAGGAAGAAATTGTAGAAAGTGCGTAAAAGAATTGTGTAGCAGCGGAGGCCACTCTAGCGCGAACCAGTGCATCTGTTGTTCTCCACTCCATTTCGCGGTGCAGCCCGTGGAGGCCACACCCGGACCACGCCTCACTTGTTCTCGCAACACACGCGAAACAGATTTCGGCGCCGGACAGTCCATAGATGTACCGCTATACCGTTTCATCTCCATGAGGTGTATGCCCTGACAGTGTCATCTGACCTTCCACCACACCGCCACCGTGCCGTCTCCACGCCTGGTCCACGCTTCTCTCGAGATTCCCTCCGTTATCCGTTCTTCCTCGGGTAATTACCTTCTGGGTAACCAACATCGAAGCCGCTGACGTCAAAAGTCACCTACGTGGCTCGATGGTACCCGTCAGATCATGCGCGCCCCTTCGTGGTACCCATCTTCCCTCCGTGGTACCCATCTTCCCTGCGTGGTACCCATCAACTGTGCGCGAATTCCCTGACTGGTACCGCAACATTTAAACTGAGCTGTACACTGTACAACAAGGGTTTCAATGCGTTTTTCAGTACAACAAGGGTTTCAATGCGTATTATAACAACGTTTACACACTCTAATTGAACATTAATACCCTTGAACATAAATGTTTGAACGTGCCTTACACTGGACAGAGTGCAACATAGAAAGAAATCAACTCCTCTTCTAAAATCCTCACATTAACTCCGAACCTTCGTAAGCTCACACCACTGAACGATAGGTAGAGTGAATCTTGCGACCATGTTTCGCAACGCTCAGTCGGTTATTTGAACAAACTTTATAAGGTTGTATGCAAATAAATTGAGCATGCACCCCCAAAGCTAAAGATAAAATCATAAACAAATAATACGTACATTCGTTGGTTTTTGGAAACAAAACAATACCCATAATGAAAATTAAATGTACCTTAAGTCAATATATACTTAACGTGTAAGTTGATTGTTTGCTATACGGATGTTTTTTTTCGGTTGATGCAATATATCAGTTTTACGTTATCTTATAGCACGTTATATTGTCGATGTTTCTTAGCCTAAACAAATCTACACAATGAATGTTTTTTATTTAAGAATCCAGCTTTTCTTCTACACTCTATTATAGGTAATGCGTGTGATAAATTGACTCGATTAGGTGGCACTTCGGGCTTCTGACTCTATTGAGCTTGTAAACGTTAAGACAATATACTGAAAAACGCATTGAAACCCTTGGTGTACGGTGTACAGCTCGGTTGAAATGTTGCGGTACCAGTCAGGGAATTCGCACACAGTTGATGGGTACCACGCAGGGAAGATGGGTACCACGGAGGGAAGATGGGTACCACGAAGGGGCGCGCATGATCTGACGGGTACCATCGAGCCACGTAGGTGACTTTTGACGTCAGCGGGCTCGATGTGAGTTACCCAGAAGGTAATTACCCGTTCTTCCTCTTCACCTGTGCCTTCCTAGGGGTGAGCGAGCACTCTGAAGTAGGGGCGATGACAAGCCGACATGTTACCATAATCTGGGTGCAGCTTTTCATGGCCGATGACAAGGCACAGCCACTGCTGGCTGTGTGCTGGGTGCTACAGCAGCACACAGCCTCCGTATGGTGACCGCCTGTATGTCTATGGAGCATCTTCATTTCTTCGATTGATGGATTGAGTGGTTTTGCTTCTTATCTTGGGAACGAGGCTGAGTTCACTGATAAAGCTCGAGCCAGTCTCAGGTTGAATCAAGTCAGTCTCGTGTCCGCCTCCTGAGATCGACTTCCCGCTTCACGGTTTCTGCATCTGGTCACCCTCACCGTCTAGCGATTGCACTTCGAAAGACTTATCCTTTTTTTCTGATAGCCACCTCCGCAGTCGAGTGAAGCGTATTATCAGATATCACCAGTTTTCTCTTTCCGTAGACACGATCCTGCGTGTGCCAATCAAAATGGCTGCCTGGAAGAGATACCTGATCACGTTCCTGCTGTTCGCATTGTTCGTAACAGTTGCACTTGCGTCCGAGGACGAAGATTCAAGTTCGGTAAGTCATCGCAATTGTACTTTCCAGTAAGCTCATCCCACATACCCATGTTGTGACCAATCAAAATGTAGTTAGGCCGATCAGCTGGGAATGCTAAACAGCAACGTTTTTTTCTCACACACACACATGTTTTTTTGGCTGACATTGCGCCCATCCCCCTCGCGCCGCTATTTATTGTTCCAGGGATCAACGGACTCGACACAAACCCTGAACGCAAACAAGGCGGGAGCCATTTTCGTTTTCTTCGCGTGCAGCTTTCTCGGCGTATGGCTTCCCTACTTCATTCCGGTCCACCAGCTCATTCTCAAGTTTGGAATTCTCTTCTCGACCGGTCTCTTCATCGGCATGTCTCTACTCTATCTCGCAGTGGAGACATTCGAGGAGATGGAAGAGCTCGCTGGAAAAGGTAAGCCACACCTTCGCTCTCACTCGCTCGCCCTCACCACTCACTGGCCTCCATTCGCTCACCTAAGCTTCATCTGTCATCGGAGCCGTTTTTTCAGAGTATCTTCAAATGCCGTCGATGACTTCCTGCTAACCCTGCTTCTCTGTGTGTGTTTGACAGATTACCCGTACGGAATGCTGGTCATTGTGATGGGTATCTACCTCACATGGCTCTGTGACCTGATTGTGAAGACCATTTGGCGGAAGAGATCCGGCGGATCCTTCGAAGAGAAGGTGCGTAGTATTCTTCATAAAGAACACAGTAAACCAAATGCGGCCTAGTATCTATGTGAACAAAACCCTACGAACAGTTCTCAAAGTTGGCGTAAAAGAATGTCATTTACATAATCTCTCATCTTATTTCTCAGGAAGAGGAGCTGGGTCCAACAGTTGCTGGCGCCATGGGTGCTGGCCAGACCAAGGTGGTCGACGCAGACTCGGAGAATCAGAAGCAAATCGACGTGCAGGCGCTTTCCATCGTAGACGTCATCGTTGTCCTCTTCGCCCTCTGCTTCCACGCCTTCTTCGAGGGCATGGCTGTCGGCCTCGCGTCTACGGTTCAGCGAGTTTGGACCATGACTGCTCAGATCGGCGTCAACGAGGTAATCACCTCGTTCTAGCATCTGACAGAAAAATTCTCCGGTTTCTGCATCTGAAAAACGGATGATTCGCATTCGTTCATATGGTTTCCCTATGTCGTAGTAGCATCTGACAGAGATTTCTTCGCGTGTTCTTTCACATGTTTGCAGTTTTTCGAGGGCATGGCGCTTGGAGTGACTCTCCGCGTTCAGGACACGTCCCGCTCGTGGCTCAACCACCTGCTCTTTGCCATCGGAGCTTCCATTGTCGCTCCCACTGGAATCGCCATTGGTCTCGCTATTGATTCAGCAAGCGGCAAGGAGGCTCGGAACTGGGTGAAGGCCTTTGGAAACGGCATGGCGGCTGGAGTGTTCATATTTATTGCTCTTGGTCATTTGCTGGCCAAGGGCATGAAGCCAGGAGCCAATGATAGATGGTGGATGGTGTTTGTCAAGTGGTTTGTGGCAGGGCTTGGTGTCATGACCAATGCCCTACTCCAGCTCTGGGGAGAGAGCTGAAAAACCAGCTCTCAGTTTGTGGTGCTAGACTAGTTGATCATTTATAGATTGTTTGTAGTATTATCTGCTACTTATTGACAATAATAAGTACTGATTACTGAGGGCGTGCTCCTCCGGCCCCTTAAAATTGTGTATTGTGAATAGCGAAGCAAGTTGTACCGAAGCAAAGGCTTCGGCGAACCGCTACTCCCCCCTCTTTTTGGTACAAAAGAGGGGCGAAGGCCATTTGGCCTTTACCCACGTTTCATTTCGAACTTTCAACTTTCAAGTTCCCCGCCAGCACCCTCGTTATCAGACCAATTTGGTCTGAATTTCTGATTTTCATACGTGAATTTTTGTATTCATCTGATTTCTAAGACATTCTGTTTTTTTTCATCTGAAGAGCAAGACAAAGGCATGATTTTTTTTGAAAGTGTGAAACACTTTCTAAAAATAATTATTTTGAAAGCGCAGGTGACTGTAGTGAAGCAAGGCAACTGCAAATGCATATCTCCGAGTACATAACGAGGGTTGGAGGCCATTTGGCCTCCACCACGTCTTCATTTCGGAACTTTACAATCCCGCTTCTACGTCCAACCACTTCTACTCTCACTCATTCCTAATTCACACTTATTTTTAGTATGGAGACAACGCTAGGACAAGTGGTGCAGCAGCAACATAACTTAGTAGCTGCTACGCGCATTAACTGCGGAGGGTACAGCATCGCGCCCGCGATGCACTTGGCGTGCACACAACCGAAAATGAGCTGCGCATGAAGCAACGGCCACTGGCGCATCAGTGACGAAATTGCCACGTGCGCCAGTGGCGTAGGATTTTGACGAAATCGTCACTTGCCCTAGTGGCGCGCGTGTCTGGCGAAACCGCCACTTGCGCCACTGTGGCGAAATCGCCACGTGCGCCACTAGCGCGCGTGTATGGCGAAATCGCCACTTGCGCCAGTGGCGCGCGCCTGTGGCGAAATCGTCACGGACGAAATGGCCAGTGGCGCGGCAGTCAAGAAACTGCCATTGCCGCACCTAAGGCGTTTGACTGGGCGTCAACCACCAGTGCAGTACCCCATGTCATCTCACAAATTGTTTAGCTGCATATAAATTGTTGCAAAGTTGTTTTCATTTTCGTTTTCCTCTTTCCAGTTCTAATTTCTTCTCTCATTGCCTATCAATCTCGATGCTCCCTTATGGCAGAAAAACGGGCACAAGATGGAAAGCCGCTGATTGAAGTCGGACTCTACTAGTCGCGCGGAAAAATTTCAACGACGACGGGACCAACTGCACGCACATCAAAACGAGGGGACCGAGAGCCGCCCCCTGGGGGGGGAAAGGGACGGAGGGTCCCCAAGTTGGCCTGAGAGCCGCCCCCAGGGGGGGAAGGGGACCGAGGGTCCCCGAGTTGGCCTGAGAGCCGCCCCCAAGGGGGGAAGGGGACCGAGGGTCCCCGAGTTGGCCTGAGAGCCGCCCCCAGGGGGGGAAGGGGACCGAGGGTCCCCGATTTGGCCTGAGAGCCGCCCCCAGGGGGGGAAGGGGACCGAGGGTCCCCGAGTTGGCCTGAGAGCCGCCCTCAGGGGGGGAAGGGGACTGAGGGTCCCCGAGTTGGCCCGAGAGCCGCCCCCAGGGGGGGAAGGGGACCGAGGGTCCCCGAGTTGGCCCGAGAGCCGCCCCCAGAGGGGGAAGTGTTAGAGTAGGGTGAATTCAACTATCGAGAAGGTTTTGGTACAAGAGTGAAACCTAAGGGGTTGTGCCCCACAGTGAGTACCCCACTAAAGCCTACCTAAACCATAATATATAAACATATGTTTGACACACCCCCATAGGCAAAGTGGGGGAGAGCAAGGGGTCACAAGACCAGTCAAGAAAGGCAAAGCAAGCTCAGGGTGGATCACAACGTCACCACACTCATTGAGCACAAGCAAAGGGCCACAAGGCCAGTTCACATGCAGAGGCATATATGTAACACAAACATCACAGTGATCTCTACCTAGCAAAGCAAGCATGCAGGTATATGTATATATAGATCACAGTACAAGCAAGGCCTACAGCAAGTGAGGAAAAGTGGGCACAAGCCCTAGCATAGTGCAGAAACGCTGATGATCACCAGCCTGAAGTGCCTTGGTGAATATATCAGCAGTGTTGGCCCGAGTGGCCACGTAACGCAGACGAAGCTGACCACGCTGCTGCAACTCTCGAGCCAGAAAGTAACGCAGAGCGATGTGCTTCGTTCTGTGCTCCAGTCTGTGCTCCTCACACAAGGCAATGGTAGCCTTGTTGTCGACGTACAGCACTGGAGGAGAACGAGGCCGGTCTCCCAAGTCAGTCAGCAGGTAGGTGAGCCAGCGTAACTCCTGTGCAGCCATGGCTGTGGCGTAGATCTCAGCCTCACAACTGGAGCTGAGAACTGAAGACGAGCGTGTAGAACGCCACGAAACTGAACCAGAGCCAAGGCTGAAGGTGTAACCCTATGACGACCGCTGTGTAGCCTGGTCGTCAACCCAAGAAGCGTCTGAGTGCCCAGTGAGAACAACTGAGCTCCTCCCTCCAAGCACGAGCCCCATGCCTGATGTACTGCACAAGTAGCGCAGTACCCTCTTAGCAGCATCCATGTGCACCTTTCGGTGCCGACCAGGAGCCACGTAGCGAGCCAGAAGGCCAAGAGGGTACGCAAGGTCAGGACGAGTGCAGGTCATCAGGTACATGAGGCAGCCAACTAGCTCTGGGTAAGGACCACTCGGCTCTACGGACTCGTCCGAAGGTGGAGCTGAGAGCGAGTGACCTGTAGCCAGAGGATGGCCTGTGCCGAGGACCAGGTGAAGCCGAAGCGCTGAAGGACCTGCTGCACCATGTGTGACTGAGTCAGTGTGATGGTGCGGCGTGCTCTGTCCCGGGTGATCCGCAAACCAAGATAGCTTGTCAGCTCACCCAGGTCTGTGCACGTGTGTCTCTTCTGCAGCTCCGACTTCACGTGGGCGAGAGCCTCAGTGTCAGCAGTGGCAAAGACCAAGTCGTCGACGTACACGAGGATGTAGAACGGCGGCAGCGAAGTGTCGGTGCGTAGAAACAGCGACGGGTCAGCAGTCGACGGAGCAAACCCAAGAGCCGCAAGTGTCGTCCTCAGTGTGTCGTGCCACTCACGTGGCGCCTGGCGGAGACCGTAAACCGGCCGCCTGAGGCTCCACTGGGTACCAGGAGGGAACGACCCAGTGAAGCCAGGTGGGCGGCGCAGCCAGATCTCCTCGTGCAGGCTGCCCTGTAAGAAGGCTGTGCTGAAGTCAAGAGAGTGAAGCTCGTAGTCACGCTGAGCGGCAACGTGCAGCAGCACCCGAAGAGTGGTCATCTTCGGGGTGGGGGAGAAGGTCTGGAAGAAGTCTACTCCCTCTCGCTGACTGAAACCTCGTGCAACGTAACGCGCCTTGAAGACAGGCGGAGAACCTGGCGGCCGCTTCACCCTGAAAATCCACATGCCACTGACGATGTTCGCCCCAGGTGGGGGAACCTCGTCGACGTAGGTGCCTGTGGACTTCCAAGATGCCATCTCTGAGTCCATGGCTGTCTGCCACTGAGAGGAGTACTCACCCGCGATCGCCTCAGCGTAAGAGCGCGGGGTCGGGATGTCTGGAGCATCCGGGTCTCCCTCAGGGGCAAGCAGCATGGACACGAGATGAGGCGCAGCGGCTGCAAGACACTCAAGGTCCTCCTGCCTGTCCTCAAGGACGTCCGTGCCAAGAGCACACTCACCCCCGACGGACGGAGGACAGACAGACTCAGACTCAGCAACAAGACTAGCGGCGTAGTCTAGACGACAGGCAGCAGCAAAGTCAACAAGCTCAGCAACTAAGGCAGACGTAGTAGCAGACTCAAACGACGGGTCAGTGACAACAGTGGCTAGCAGACGCGTAACAGTAGGGTGCTCAGCACGAAACTGGTCAGACTTGGGGTCCGCAACGACAGGCAGAGAAGACGCAGGAGGGGACGGCAGAGGAACACGCTGTGGAGGAGAGGAAAGAGGACGGACTACGAGGTGGGTGTCGGGGACAGCCGGCAGACGCGGACGAGGAACACGACGACCGGAACGACCAGAACACACAGGCGAGACAGGACGCGACGCAGGCTCACGACGCTCAGTAAGACTCCCTAGCCGCTCAGTGTAAGGAGAAGGAGCAGGCAGCGGTGAACCAGGCTGCAACGGAAGACCAGTAGACGAAGGGAGACTAAGAACCTGGCGAAGCACAGAGTCAGGCGGTGGCTGAGACGACGGAGACGGTGGAGCGAAGAACAGGCGCGGCTGTGCAATGACACCAGCACCAGCAGCTCCAGTACCCCCAGCAGCTCCAGAAACTCCAGCAGCTACAGAACCTCCAGCGCCTGCTCCTCCAGGACCAGCTCCACCAACAGCAGCACCCCCAGAACCGGCACCTCCAGTCCCAGGGTCTCCAGCCGCAGCACCCTCAGACTCAGCACCTCCAGCCCCAGCAGCTCCAGTACCTCCAGTACGAGCACCTCCGGGACCAGCACCACTCCCAGCTCCAGTGGCGACAGCAGAAGTACCTCCAGCGGCAGAGCCCCGAGCTCCAGAAGCGCGACCCTGACGGAGACCGTACCAGTCGTGCAGCTGCTGCGAGGTGAGAGGCACACGCGGGCGAAGGCGGCTACTCCAAGGAAGCCGCGCAACAGCAGACTCAGAACCCTCAGCGCCAGAACCCGCAGCAGCTCCAGAACCTCCAGCGCCAGCACCCTCAGCAGCTCCAGAACCTCCAGCTCCAGCGCCACCAGCGCCAGTACCTCCAGCAGCTCCAGAACCTCCAGCGCCAGCACCCTCAGCAGCTCCAGAACCTCCAGCTCCAGCGCCCTCAGCAGCTCCAGAACCTCCAGCAGAAACAACTCCAGTGGCAAAGTCACCAGCTCCAGCGCCTCCCGCAGCAGGGCCCCTAGCTCCAGCAGCGCGACCCTGACGGCCAGCGTACCACTCAAGCAGCTGCTGTGGGGAGAGAGGGAGTCGACGACGAGAGTGCAGCGGCGAGGCACCAGCGGAGCGACTACGGAGACGGCCGCTCCCGGGAGACTGCTCACCAGACGCCTCAGTGCCCCCAGGCTCAGCACCCCCAGACTCCTCACACCCAGGCTCAGCACCTACAGTCTCCGCACCCCCAGGCTCCGCACCCCCAGGCTCAGCACCCCCAGGCTCAACACCCCCATGCTCAGCACCCCGAGGCTCCACACCCCCAGGCTCAGCACCCCCAGCAGCAACACCACCCTCAGCAGGACCTGAGTCACCAGTGACCTCAACCTGAGGAGGAGGGTCTACCTGAGACACACCTGAAGGAGCAGGACCGGGAGCGGGGAGGGGGTCTACCTGGGGAGCACCTGGAGCGAGGAAGAGCGGCGGGGGGGGGGGGGGGGGGGGGCAGTGCGGTAGGGGAAGAGACGGTAAAAGGGAACCGACTCGTCGAACGTGACGTCCTGAGAGGGGAAGAGACGGCACGAGGTGGGGTGGTAAAACTGCCAACCAGGCGCGTCAGGGACGAAGCCAAGGAAGACACAAGGAACAGCGCGGGCGGAGAGCTTGTCCGCAGTGGTGTCGCGGACAAAGGCACGAGCACCCCAGACCCGGAAACGCGACGCATCGCCAACCTTCCCCGTCCACAGCAGTGTGGGCGAGGTCTCCGGCAAGGAGACACGGGGCCAGAGGTTGAGCTGATGCGCGGCGTACCGGACCGCAAACGGCCACAGAAAATGGGGGGCAGCCGCATGGATCATGGAGGTACGAGCGACCTCCATGACTAAGCCAATGCGGCGCTCAGCAACCCCATTCTGCTGCGGAGAGGCCGGAAGCGTGAACGACTGGCGGATGCCGTGCTCCGCACAGTAGGCTGCCAAGAGGTCTGAGGAGAACTCACCACCTCTGTCAGAGTGCAGACGCAGGACAAGAAAGTTCGACTGGAACCGCTCGCAGAGCTGGAGACGAGTAGCGCGGATCCAGGGGATCAAAACATCAGGGACCTCCCACTTGCTGCGCAAGGGGAAGACCGTGGTGTAACGCGTGTAGTCGTCGACGACCAGCAGGAAGTACCGCTCGCGGCCCTGTCCACGGACGCGGGCTGGGCCCCACACGTCCAGGTGGAGAGTCTGCAAGGGAGCCTCTGTGGGAGGGAACGAGGAGGAGTGAGGAGCGGCGCGCTGCCGCCCCTCGACACAGGGAAGACAGGGAGGAGCAGGCGAGGGTGGGAGGGGAGGGAGAACCCTGGGAAGACCAGAGACAAGGACACGGCGGTGCATGCTGCGAAGGCGCTGCACCGAGGGGTGACCAAGGCGGTGGTGCCAAAGGAGGGTCTGGTGCGACAAGGCACGACACGAGCAGGGGGCCGACAACTGACCTCACGCAGACGCAGTCGCAGCTACCTGAGGGGACTCAGTGGTCAGTGTGTACAGGCCCGACCCCGGCTGCCGAGTGAAGGTAGCCAGGTGACGACCAGTCTGAGCACACGTGCAGTGTGTCACACGCTCGTAGGCAGGGGTGAACTGGTGAACACCCGCGTCCTGGAGCGCGGAACCCGCCACCAAGTTCGTAGAGAACGAGGGGAGGTAAAGACCCGACAGTGTGCCGGACGGGACAGCAGGACGAGGGAGGACAGTGGAGGAGGTCGCATGGACTGGACCCCCAGAGGGGTCTGCCAGGGAGACTGGAACCGGCCGACCGAGCGGCGTGAGGGTGGTGCTGTCGTGAAAGAAAGAGCGAGAGGCACCGGAGTCAAGTGTGAAGGTGTACAAGGCCTCAGTAGGCGCAGTACCAGAGAGGGCAGACTCACCAGTACCTAGAGCAGCAGCCTCACCAGCACCTAGAGCAGCAGGCTCTATACCTGGGTCAGGTGGTACGCACAGGTAACAGGCACGGTCGGCACTAGTAGGCAATGCATACATGGCAGTGAGAATAGCATCATAGTCAAGAGCAAAGATATCTACCCTCTGTCCAAGCAGCTCCAGCCAGGTGGGGAGCTCAGCCTCGTCGCCAAACTCGATATGCCAGGCGTCGCTCAGACGGGCGAAGCAGCGGGACTGTGTGTGACCAGGCGTCCCGCAAGGCTGACCAGTCCGATCACCTGTGCGAATGACGTACGGGCAGCGAACTGGACTCAAAGACCCTCTACTCTGAGCGTACCACTCGTGAAGCTGCCGGGACGTAAGTGTCTCTCGCGAACGCCGCTGCAGCTGCGGCTGGCCACTGCCAGACGCTCCCAACGGACCAGCTCTGATACCGTGTTAGAGTAGGGTGAATTCAACTATCGAGAAGGTTTTGGTACAAGAGTGAAACCTAAGGGGTTGTACCCCACAGTGAGTACCCCACTAAAGCCTACCTAAACTATAATATATAAACATATGTTTGACAGGAAGGGGACAGAGGGTCCCCGAGCTGGCCCGAGAGCCGCCCCCAGGGGGGGAAGGGGACCGAGGTTCCCCGAGCTAGCCTGAGAGCCGCCCCCAGGGGGGGAAGGGGACCGAGGGTCCCCGAGTTGGCCTGAGAGCCGCCCCCAGGGGGGGAAGGGGACCGAGGGTCCCCAAGTTGGCCTGAGAGCCGCTCCCAGGGGGGGGAAGGGGACCGAGGGTCGCGAGGTTGGCCTGAGAGCCGTTCCTCATGGGGCAAAGGGGGCCAAGATTCGGGTGTAGGTACCTACAAAGGTACGCTGGCCAGAGAAGCCACCTTCTTATGAAGGGGGGATGTGCGTACTAAAGCTGAGATGTGGAAAACCCCAACTATGTAATGTGTTTGATGATATGTATGTACCATTGGCTATTTGTTTACGATATGAATATAGTGAAAAAAAAAAAAAAAAAAAAAAAAAAAAAAAACATGGAGCTTTTCTTGACCCAACAGGATGTTGGAGCCACATATAGTGATTCGACTGACTGTGGAAAGATCGGTAGAATGACTCTACCGGTAGCAAGGACGGGTACGGTATTGGATCTGGTTGTATCACTCCCCCACCCATACTGGACATACCCAAATGCAGGAGGAGGGGAGGGAGTGTATTTCAACCATTATTCACTCCTATCTTGTTCCGTCACACCGGACAGGATACCGTATGGGAAAGTAAAACATTTACCACAGAATTTCAATGTACTTTGCATTCCATTACCGGTGATTGTTCGCGCTTCAACAATATTTGTGTTGAATGGAGCTACGGGACTACCGTAACATGGTGTGGCAGGGCAGCCAAGGCAAATCTTGTTGTTTTTTCTTGACTGGCCGTCATAATACGGTATCGGTTAGAGATGAGCAACCAAAGGGCCAAGATACGAGCAACCGATGGGCCAAGAGATGAGCAACCGACCGGCCAAGCAATGAGCAATCGACCGGCCAAGCAATGAGCAACCGACAGGCCAAGGGATGAGAAATCAACCGGCCTAGGGACGAGCAACCGCCGAACCAAAAGATGAGCAACCGACGGGCCAAGCGATGTGCCACCGATAGGCCAAGAGATGAGCAACCGACGGGTCAAGAGTGTCAGGAACTAATGACCAGGAATGGTGAAACTAACAGCATGCAGGAGTATAAGTAGTAAACCCCAATTGGGTTGTACCTCATATGGGCTACCCCACTACAGCCTACACCACATGATAGTTTGACAAAGAGATGAGCAACCGAAGGGCAAATAGATGAGCAACCGACGGGCCAAGAGATCAGCAACCGACAGGCCAAGAGATGAGCAACTGATGGGCCAAGAGATGAGCAACTGATGGGCCAAGCGATTAGCAACGGACGGGCCAAGCGATGAGCAACTGACGGGTCAAGCGAGGAGCAACCGACGGACCAAGCGATGCGCAACTGACCGGCCAAGGGATGAGCAACCGACCAGCCAAGAGATGAGCAACCGACAGGCCAAGAGATGAGCAACCAATGGGCCGAGCGACGGGCAACCGACGGGCCAAGAGATGAGCAACTGACGGGCCGAGCAATGAGCAACATATGGGCCGACGATGAGCAATCGATGGGCCAAGCGATGAGCAACCGACGGGCCAAGAGATGAGCAACCGATGTGCCAAGAGATGAGCAATTGATGGGCTAGTAATCCGCGATTGAAGGCATTTCCTCAAGCTTTCTTACAATGTGTATTGTTATGCGACACTATTTTTACGAACCCGCATTTCTTTGGATCTACCAATCTTGCAAACGAGGCATGCCGTACCGCTTTGGTCGGCGTAGTCGGCCGCTCTACCACGATTATATACGATTCTGGGCCCTTTTGTTCCTATGTCTTAGGGGTGCAATCGCAACTATGAAAGGTTACTATTTACGCGCATTCATCTGTGACTTATGCGCCTTCATTCATACAAGCTCATGATGCTCCCTGGACAGATTTGCTCCCGGCGGCAGCTTCACCTTGTAGAGCCACATGCCACTAACAACGTTCGCCCCAGGTGGTGGGACGGCGTCGACGTAGGTGCCTGTGGACCTATAAGATGCCATCTCTGCCTCCTCAGCTGCTATCCAGTACGAAGCCCAGGTTCCCGAGACCGCCTCAGCGTGAGTGCGAGGGATCGGGATGTCAAGGGTGTCTGGATCCCCCTCAGGGGCAAGCAGCATGGCGCAGAGATGAGGAACAGCGGCCGCAAGGAAACCAAGCTAGAACTGCCTGTCCTCCAGGACCTCCAACGGAAAGACAGGAGCACCCCCAGAGGACGGAGAACGAGCAGGGCCACTCACCAAGTGAGTGGCGTAGTCAAGGCGGTGGGAAGAGGCAAAGTCAGCGACAGTGGTAACAAGTGCTGAGACAGACGACAGAGGTGCAGTCGGGTGAGTGACCAACGCGGACAAAACACGGGAGACGACAGGACGGGAGGCACGGAGGTAGTCGGACAACGGGTCGTGAAGCATAGTGAAGGACGACTCAGGAGGCTGTGGAAGGACAGGTGGAGACGGAACACGAGAGCGAAGAACAAGGTGAAACGGGCGGTCGGCACGGTAACGAGACCGACGAGGCTCTGGGGACACAGCACGACTGAGGGGAGAACGACGAGTCCACTGGGACGAGCTGCTGCGTGTGGGACTTTTGCTCTACTCTCTCCTGCTGTGGCTGCAACTGCACCTGCTGCTGCGGGCGGGACTCCTGCTCTACTCTCTCTTGCTGTGGCTGCAACTGCACCCGCTGCGGCAGTCGTGACTCCTGCTCTACCCTCTCCTGCTGCGGCCGCAACTGCACCTGCTGCTGCGGGCGGGACTCCTGCTCTACTCTCTCTTACTGTGGCTGCAACTGCACCCGCTGCGGCAGTCGTGACTCCTGCTCTACCCTCTCCTGCTGCGGCTGCAACTGCACCTGCTGCTGTAGTCGTGACTCCTGCTCTACTCTCTCCTGACACTCCGACTGAGACTGGAGGTGGTGGTGGTGGTGGTGCTGCTGCTACTGCTGCTGTCGTGACTCCTCCTCAACTCTCTCCTGGTGCGGCAGTGACTCCTCCTCTACTCTCTCCTGACGCTCCGACTAAGACTACTGTTGCTGCTGCTACTGCTGCTGTCGTGCCCTCTCAAACCGCTCCCGCTCCTCCCTCTCCAACCTATCTAAACGCTGCACACGGGTCAGGAAGCGTACAGTGCGCGGCGTAGGCGTCGCAATGCTCGTGTCTCCGGCTCCAGCACCCCCAGAACCAGAACCTCCACCGACTACACCCCCAGGGACTCCAGTGCCTCCGGCAGGAACACCCCCAGGCTCCGCAGCAATTGGTTGTGGAGGCGAACGAGGAGGGAACTGCGGAACAGACGGGAAGCCAGGGGGTGAGGCAGGGCGAGGCCGCTGAGTCGAGACAGCCGTGTCCTCCTCAGGAGTGGTCTCCTCTCTCACACCCCCTGCACCCCCAAAGCCGGCACCACGGGCTCCAGCAGCCCCAGTACCCTCACTCTCCGCAACTACCCCTCCTGCACCCCCAGACACGAGAGGGACTGGACGCTGCGGGGGGGACGACTGCGGAGTGACGTGCGACACACCTGACGGGGCAGGCCGCGAAGGGGGTGGGGCTACCGCGACGACTGGGGGGGGCTCAAGAGTGAGGAACAGCGGGGGGGAAAAGGCCTCAGAACCTCGGTGGGGGCGACTCCTGTAGTAACTGACCGACTCGTCGAAAGTGACGTCCTGGGAACTGAAGAGCTGACAGGTAACCGGGTCGTAGAACTGCCAGCCGCTGGTGTCGAGCGGGAAGCCAAGGAAGATGCAGGCATGGGTGCGCGGAGACAACTTGTTCACGCCAGGGGCGCGAACGTGGGCCAGGGAACCCCAGACGCGGTAGTCAGCTGCTACACCCGGAGAACCTGTCCAAAGGGAGACTGGCGTCACCCGTGGCCGTGCGTCACTAGGCCACAGGTTCAGCTGGTGCGCGGCGTAGCGGACTGCCTGAGGCCACAGGAACTGGGGGGCACCGGCATGGCACATGGAGGTCCGGGCAACCTCCATGACCAGGCCGATGCGTCGCTCGGCTACCCCGTTCTGCTGCGGCGAGTCTGGTAGCGTGTAAGACTGGATGATCCCCCGACCCTAACAAAACGTCTCCAGGCGTGTGGAAGAAAACTCACCACCACGGTCCGAGTGCAGGCAGAGCCCACAAAGGGCCTGGGCGTCACCCCTCGCTAGTAGCCACGGCTCGAGGACTGTAGGCACGTCAGCCTTCCGTCGCAAAGGTAAAACCGTGGTGTAGCGGGAGTAGTCGTCCACCACGATCAGGAAGTAGCGCTCCTGACGTGGGCCACGGACCGGGGAGGGGCCCCAGACGTCCAAGTGCAGTGTCTGGAAGGGAGCCGTGGTGAGGGGGAACGAGGAGGAGTGAGGGGCAGCGCACTGCCAACCCTCGACGCAAGGAGTGCACAGCGGCGCAGGCGAGCGAGGAAGCGGGGCAAGCGACTCTGGAAGACCTAAGACCAGACGGTGACGTACCATCCTACTGAGACGTGGGAACGACGGGTGACCTAGACGGTGGTGCCAAAGGACCGACAAGTGGGTGAGTGACCGACAGTCGCACGACACAGCCGCTACCTGACCTGACCTTACCTTACCTGACCCGGTGTGGTGGGACCCAGTGTGTAGTGAGTACAGACCAGAGCCCGGTTCCCTGTGGAAAGTGGCCAGAGGCACTCCAGTGGCACCGACTGTGCAGGAGGCAACAGGCTCGTCCAAAGGGAAAGTGGTGACAACTCCGAGGTCGTGGAGGTGACTGACACCCACCAAGTTCCTAGAGAACGAGGGGGTGTAGTAGCCTGTGAGAAACCCAGAGGGAGCCGCCGGACTCGGGAGAACGGTGGTGCTGTGGGCAACTACAGATCCCATGGAGGGGTCAGCTAAGGCGACAGTGACTGGAGTGTGCAGTGGCGTGAGGTCTGTGCAGTCGCGAAAGAAACAGCTGGACGCTCCGGAGTCTAGAGTGAAAGAAAGCTGTGCAGTCGGTAAGGTCGCTCCCGAGCCGGCGACAAAGGCTGGGACTAGACTAGTGGTAGCTGCAGTTCCGACACTAAGAACCTCTGAGGCGTCTGGACTGGAAACTACACAAGCACCAAGACTGGAAACACAAGTGTCAACCTCAGCTGCAGCTCCCACGTACCGGTGTGTGTACTGGCCGGGTCGGACAGGGCCCCGTAGTGGAGGCTGCCGCTGGCACTGCTGCTGCTGCGGCCACTGGTGCTGCGGCCACGGCTGCTGCCGCGGACACGGCTGCTGCTGTCGTGGCCACTGCTGCTGCTGCAGCCACTGCTGTCGCGGCCACTGGTGCTGCTGCCACTGCTGCTGCGGCCACTGCTGCTGCTGCCGCTGTCGCCACATCAACATGGCACGCTAGTACGGGGGGGGGGTAGGGGCCAGTCGAGGCGGCAGTACGAGTGGTAGGACGACCTAAGCTAGTGCTGGCACGACTGAAGGTAGCCTAAGCTGCTCCTGATGCGCTAAACGCGGGTGCTGGCGCATGCTGGAGCTTCATAGCATTGGCTGGTGCTAAGTCTCTCTCTCTCTCTCTCTCTCTCTCTCTCTCTCTCTCTCTCTCTCTCTCTCTCTCTCTCTCTCTCTCTCTCTCTCTCTCTCTCTCTCTCTTTTGAAATTAATTAATAATTCTTAATAAATCATGCAGGGCGCGTGCGGCCAAGATAAGGATGCGGTCGGCCTAGGAAAGGGGGTGCGCGCGACTGGGTGTGCGCGGCTACGCGTGTGCAGTCGCGAGGGCGCGGCTGCGTGAGTGTGCGCCGTGCGTGGCCGCGTGCGCGGCCTGTGTGCGCGTAGTAGCGTGCGCGCAGCTGCGTGAGCGCGGCTACGTGCTTGCTGGCTCTACGGGGAGCGCGGGGGCAGGAACTACGGGCGATGGGTGACTGGCGACGGGCGACGGGAGTTAGGGTTAGGGTCGACGGGAAGGGCCCGCGGGGGGCGCACTACGGGACGAACGAAGGTCCCGCGGGAGAGGCCGCATTACGGGACGACCTAAGGCCCGCGGGGCCGCACGACGGGACGACCTAAGGCCCGCGGAGGGGGGGGGGGGGGCGCGCTACGGGGGGACGAAGGGCCCGCGGGGGCCGCGCTACGCGAGGAACTAAGGCCCGTGGGGGGGCGCACTACAAGACGGACAAAGGGCCATGGGGTGACGGGACCTGCTGAGGGCGCTATGGGCAACGGACGGCGGACGGGCGGCGGACGGGCGGCGAACGGACGGCTAACGGGCGGCGAACGGACGGCTAACGGACGGCGGACGGGCGGCTAACGAGCGACGATCGGACGGAGGCCTTAAACGAGCAAGCAACGAACGGGGCGTGCGAAGGTGGGCCCATGGGAACGAACTAAGCTCTATACCATGTCAAAGTAATAACTCGAAGAATGAATGACTAGAATGAGCAAGTACAAGGGTAGATATAGCAAACCTAACCCTAGCACTAACCAAGGTGCACACCACCTAGACTAAACAATACAAACTATAACAGATATAGTTTGACAGGAAGTCCTGCTGAAACCGCTCGTGCAGCTGGAGACGAGTAGCATGGATCCAGGGGATCAGGACACCGCTGACATCCGCCTTGCGCCGCAAGGGGAAGACGGTGGTGTAGCGTGTGTAGTCGTCAACAACCAGCAGGAAGTAGCGCTCGCGGTCTGTTCCACCGATGGGGGCCGGGCCCCACACGTCCATGTGGAGAGTCTGCAGAGGAGCAGTGGTCGGAGGAAACTCAGAGGAGTGAGGAGCGGCGCGCTGCCGCCCCTCGACACAAGGAAGGCACGGCGGGGCAAGCGAGCGCGGCAGGGGGGGCAGGGACCTGGGGAGGCCAGAGACAAGGAGACGGGAGTGCATGCTACGTAGACGCGGCAGGAAGGGGTGACCAAGATGGTGGTGCCAGCGCTGAGTCTCGTGTGTGACTACCCTGCACGAGCAAGACGCAGCTAACTGTCCCGACGCAGACGCCCGACTCGACGCAGCCACCTGACCTGACTCAGCCACCTGTGTAGACGCAGTGGTCAGTGTGTACAGACTAGACCCAGGCTGTCGAGTGAACGTAGCTAGGTGACGGCCAGTCCGGGAGCACGTACAGATCGCCACACGCTGCCCTCTAGGAATAAAGGTATCAACCCAGACATCCTGAATGGCAGCGTTGCTCACCAAGTTCGTAGAGAACGTGGGGACGTGGAGACCTGACAGTGAACTGGAGGGGACTGCTGGTGTGAGAGTACGACGGCTTATGCTGGCTTTGCTAGCTTGCCTAGACTTTATTATGCTATTACTAGCTTGGGTTTTATTCATCATGCATAGATATGCTTGATATCCTAGGTTAGGTGCATTCCTATACTTTATTATAGTTATAGCACCGAACCAGGTTACGTGTACCAAACTCAAGCCTATTCGGTTTCTGTCAGAGGTCCACTGGTGATCCCCGATTGATCCTAGGGAAAGGTTACAGGCTCGTTGTCCTGGGGGGTTATGGGCGCACTGACCCGCTACTTAACAAGCCCTTTTATCCCAATGGTCTAGTGGTTGGGATTCTGACATGGTATCAGAGCGAAGGTCTCGGGTTCGTATCCCAGTGTGTGCACTTCGGGCATCCCAGTGCGGGGGGGTGTCAGAGGTCCACTGGTGATCCCCGATTGATCCTAGGGAAGGGTTACAGGCATGTTGGCCTGGGGGGTTATGGGCGCACTGACCCGCTACTTAACAAGCCCTTTTATCCCAATGGTCTAGTGGTTGGGATTCTGACAGTTTCCACCGAATTGCTTTCTACTGAGTTCTGGAAGGTTCTGTTCGGGACGCTTCGCGACCCTCAGAACATTCGCGTAACACCTGGGTAACTGGCCTTGTGTCGAGCCTATATATAGCCTCGTCTTGTACCCAGGTGAAGCATTCAATTCACATTCTCTTTTCTGAGCTCGATCCTAGATCCTCACAGCTGGACACGGGAGGACAGTGGAGGCTAGCGCAACTACTGGGCCCGCAGAGGGGTCAGCCAGTGAGACTGGGACAGGTGCTGCGAGTAGTGTGACTATGGTGCAATCACGAAAGAAGCAACGTGATGCGCCTGAGTCAAGCGTGAAAGTGTGCAAGGCCTCAGCTGAGGCATGACCTGTGGTAGGAGACCCACTAGCACCTAGAGCGTCGGCAGACTCACGGGCACCTAGAGCTACAGCAGACTCACCAGCACCTGGAGCGGCAGCAGACTCACTAGAACCGAGAGCAGCAACCTCTACACAACCAGGGACGCATCGCTGAGAAGCATAGTCGTGAGGTCGCTAAGGCCACATAAAACCAAAACCCCCACCACCAGGACGGCCTCGCTACAACCCACTCACGAAGCTGCTGAAGGGTGGGGTCGTCCGGGAGAGGCAGTACCCGCTGCTGTCCACCCCTAGCCGCTGCAACTGCTGCGATAGTGGCCATGACAGACAGTGACGGTCAGTAGTAGGTCCAGCACCTCCAGCACCTCCAGCACCAGCAGCAGCAGTAGTAGCAGCAGGGCGGCTCGGTGGGGCTGGGCGGTTGCACCTCCAGCACTCCCCGCAACACCTCCACCTTAAGGGTTTAACAGGAGAACGAGCAGCAGCAGCAGCAGCAGCAGTAGTAGCAGCAGGGCGGCTCGGGTTGGGCAGGGCGGCTCGGGCTGGACGGCGCGGCTCGGCCTGGGCGGCGTGGGCAGCAGGGCGCGACACGCGGACTGCAGCAGAGCGCGACGCGCGGGCTGCAGCAGGGCACGACGCGCGGGCTGAAGCAGGGCGCGACGCGCGGAGCAGCAGAGCGCGACGCGCGGGCTGCAGCAGGGCACGACGCGCGGGCTGAAGCAGGGCGCGACGCGCGGAGCAGCAGAGCGCGACGCGCGGGCTGCAGCAGAGCGCGACGCGCAGGGCAGGGGCTGCTCACAGGCAGCAGGGGCGCTCGGGGCACTAGGGGCGCTCGGGGCAGGGGCTGCTCGCGGGCAGCAGTGGCGCTCGAGGCAGGGGCTGCTCGCGGGCAGCAGTGGCGCCCGAGGCAGGGGCTGCTCGCGGGCAGCAGTGGCGCTCGGGGCAGGGGCTGCTCGCGGGCAGCAGTAGCGCTCGGGGCAGGGGCTGCTCACGGGCAGCAGGGGCGCTCAGGGCAGGGGCTGCTCGCGGGCAGCAGTGGCGCTCAATCAGGGGCTGCTCGCGGGCAGCAGTGGCGCTCGAGGCAGGGGCTGCTCGCGGGCAGCAGTGGCGCTCGAGGCAGGGGCTGCTCATGGGCAGTAGTGGCGCGCGTGACGGCAGGGCAGCGCGCTATGGCAGGCAGTGCGAGTAGCTGCAGGGCAGCGTGACACTGTGCGAGAGGGCCGGACAGCGCAAGGGCGCTTCGGGCAGGATCTAGCGGAACGATAGGTGGGCCCTAAAAACCTAACAGGTTTCCTGCTCTGATACCATGTCATAATCATTGTGCAGGAATGATTGCATTGAGCAGCAGGATGAGTACAAGTATGAAGCCC